ACTCGATGATCTTGAAGGCCTTTTCCAATCTTAATGGTTCTATGATATTTGACTCTATGAAACAAGTATGAAATATACATGAATTTATGTGATTTTAAAAAATCATCATATCTGCATTAAAACTCCAAATACAATATGTATTTTCTTTCTTAACACTAAAAGAACTATGGCCATTTCAGTATCATTCATAAATATGGGAAAAAAGGTTGACCATACTTTCTTCATTTAAGTGACAATGATTAGTGATAAATGAATATTTCACAGAATACTTTTACAACTAAGGATCACAATCCCATAATCCACAGCTTTCTCTGAGGAAACTGGCATACTTAACAAATGGTTCTATTAAAACATAGTCAGTCCCCATTTGCACATCCTTGTTGCTATCAGCCCTGCCCCCTAGAGAAACACCAAAAACACATTCTGTAGCAGGAATATCTTTTCAGACTAACCTTTGTACTGACCTAACAGTGCAAGAGGTCAGAATTTTTCTGGTTTGTATTAATACCTATGCTTGGGCCCAGTGACTGCTGTCTCCCCTCTTTCAGTTTCGTCTCTGGAGAAACATTTAAAAGAGGACTGAGATGGTGCCTTGACTGACAGGTGTGAAACTTCCAGCATCAACGTCACACTCTTCTCAATGAAGACCTCAGAATGCTGATGACTTACTGCAATTGTTGACCCCCTCTTCTTGTTGTTATGTGTTGGTTTTGGAACCGTGAGGTACACTGGCAAGCTGAGCATAATACCAAAGTAAAAAATAGATAGTAGGAAAGCTTTTTCTCTAATAGTTTTAGAGATCTTATTAGTAAGCCTTTGGGTATTAATTTGGTCTATGAGTATGAGTACTATCCAAATTGAACTATTAGGCTGTTAAAACACTAATTATACAAACAATAAATTCTTCTCTCCAGATATATATATGGAGAAGTCTCTTTACAATTATGACCTTTTTCAAAGTACTCTGAGTGTAATTTACTGGTTAAGTGAACAGACAACTTTAAACTAAAGCACCTGGATGATGGAAACTTCTAGCAAAGTGGCTCCAAGCAAAACCACCTCATTCATATAGTATCTCCTGTTGCACAAGCGAGGAGGGAACTCATTATGGTCTGTAAAGAGGCCAATTGGACCATTGGGGAAGGCAGGAAATATGTCTCCCTTATAGGAATATATGAAAAAAACCTCAACAATCTCAAGTGCTCTACAGAGGTTTGGTTTTTAATCAGTCCCATCTTCCACCTAAGGAGCAGATTCAATAAAACATGCTCAAATGGAAAACTACTGCTCTTAATCTATTAGATGTTGTCTGCAGTACGTATACTGAGCAGTACCGGTACAGATATAGCTAAGATATTGCTATTTCCTGTTGATTATGAATGAGTCACATTAATTTTCTATGCATCTTCAGAGAACAGGATCACAACATCCATCAAAATTTCTGAGACATCCTTCTTGTTAGGAGAGGCATAAAAAACACCACCTCTGGTGGAGGAGCCGAGCCCAGTGCACCCAAAGACCTGTGAGTCCCTCTCTCCTAGACCAATGGATGCAGCTGTTGCATTCCTGTTTGCAGGTTCAACAGCAGCTAAGAGCATGTATGCCAGAGACACACACCTGCAGAGGACACTAATGCAGCCAGCTAATAGACTACCCACAGATGCAGCATTGCCTTTAACAGCACACGCACGTAACGATACCATATTGAACATAAAACGTGTACAAACAGCCAAATCCCAGTCCTCTTCTCAGATTGATCAGGATTGAAGCTTGCTAGTAAAAGTACACATCTCCTTACTCTCTCTTTCAAAAGCACTGACACATTTGTGAACCCCTTGAATATCAGTGTGGGACCTCAGCTCATTTAATATTGATATCCAGAGCTTGGGCCTCCTACTCATCAGACAGTCCAACTTGAAGGCTGCTAATGAAGTGCACGTGCACATTTATGCATGGGTACACATACACACGAGTTGAGGGGAAAATATAAACATTCTGATCTTCCTAGTGGCTCATGCCCAGGCACACAGGCCCTGTCACTCTTGCTCCCCCTCTCCCTGCTGATGCTGGGACTCTCATCTGCTTCAGCTGGCATCAGGCATGGGAGCCACATCACCCAAGGTCTCATGCCAGTCACTGGCACTAAGTTGACTCACTGCAGACACACGTTCCTATGATCTGTGGTCTTCCTTCAGCTGCTGATGCTGAGACCCTCATTCACTCCAGCTGCTGGCACCAAAGACATTAAGACAGTGGCCTATCTCCAGCTGCAGCCTCCAAATTCAGTCACTTTGGTATCTCCAGTTCTTTCATCTAGACCTTACAACACTCACAGATGGGGAGAGAGCAAGATTGTATGGAAAGAGAGTTAAGAAATATTTAACAGAAAGAATGGAGAAATGGATAGACTACAGCGATTCATGGCAGGTCTCAGTCAGACAAGAGTACTGAACGGCGAACTATTCACACACTACCAGCCTTTTTTATACCTCCTTCCTCTTTGTACCCACCTCATCCTTGTTTCACCCAGATTCCCTTCCCTTAAACATTTCTTAGTAAGTCTAAGGGTGCAAATTCTGGTATGAATTGGAGTATTCAATCATAAGAATAATGGCAAGCCTAATGTTAGCTGTTTGCGATTAAGTTATGTTAAAAATGAGCTTTCAGGAAAGAGTAAAAAGAGGTTTGAGATCTCAGTGAATGAACGAAGCAATTAGTATATAATAAAAACACATAATTGACATAATTTACGCTGCTTCTCCCATAGATCCATTCTATCATTATGAACACAACTTAAACCCAGAAACCTTTACTTATTTTGAATAAAACCTTGCAAATAATAATTGTAAATATAAATGTAAAATAATTTTATTATAATTTTACTTGCTTCTCATCAATTTACAGTAACAAGAAAAATTCATATTTTCATTCAGATCATGTGAAATAGTTGCTGCCAGGGCCTTATCTCATTTTAGAAAAAAGATATGACAAAGTTTGCAAAATCTTAATCATAATGAGCACAATCTTAGTATTATGTTTGTATTTTCTGTGTAAAAGTTTAATATCAAAACAGAAGAATGTTTTGAATTTCCTGTTAATTTCAGACAAAATAACAAGTCAAGTTACAAGATTCATAATTACACAACTCACCTTTTCTGAGAACATCATAGAGCCACCATGGAACAACAACAGAAAAATGTCTGTTTTCCTGCAGGCTGTTTTTTTTAGATAATTATTTTTGAAATTTTTTTTGTGATAGCAAACACCTTAACACAGTATTGTAGGAAGAAATGCAAACTTAAAACAACTACATTTGGTTAGAAAATAATTGCACAATTATACTGTATGTTAGTCAACCAGTCTTGTTGCAAAGTGTGCTGATATACTACACACTTTTCTCTTACAGCAGGACCTGGGGCAATTTATAACAGAGCAAGAAAATATGAGTTAAATTCCTGTAAGTCTGTCTTCTCCTTCTGTGATACTTATGCTTAAGAACAACGAAGGATTCCCTATTTTCTTTTAGCTAGGTGGAGAACAAAAAGGCAGCTAGTGCACATTCAATAGTCTCTTTTTCTCCTTCTCAGTCCTTTACAACTACTTGAGGGGAGGTTGCAATGATTGCTGCCATCCACTAGTTCAGAGTATTGAACTGTTTTTATGTCATGATGGGTTTTGGTTTACTGTATCTGGAAGGGTGTTTCTCCTGTGTCCACCTCCCTTCTCCCTCATCAGGTCAAAATTGCAAGAATAAAAAAGATTTTTGTAGGGAAAATTTCAGAAGCACTGTGCCCACACAACTTGCATGAAAGGACAAGAGTGAGCGTTCTAAAAAGATATGGACAATGAGTAGGGGAAAAACTAACTCTAGAAAACTCTACTAATGGACTTTTCTCCTTTGGAAAAAAGTGGGGGGTTTTTCAGTTTTCTCAGAATTATGCTGACTGTGATGCTTCTACAGTGAAAGAGAGGGAGAAAAGGGAGAGTAATATCAAACACATTTACTAGGAATTTAAAATTCAGCATGCCTATCCCATTTTTATAAAATATAATTCTATACAGACTTAAATATCAACAAGACTTTTCAGTCTTTCATTTTGAAAATAAAGATTGGCTTGTTTGGCTCTTGGATCCCTTTAACTCCCTTATGCCTTTCTTTTTTTCTTTTAACTCTTCATCTCAATGTAATAATTTGTTTATATTCTATGATTGTCAGGGATAATTGATGCTTCCAAGAAAGAGACATTTTGAAAAGTTTTGCTGTTGTTGAATATTCAAGAGCTAGCTTTATACTTAGCTCATTCTTAAAGAATGTTCTTCTGAGTATCGCTACTTTTCTTATATCAACAGTCAATTTCTGCTGTGAAGCTCAGAATTAATAGTGGTTTTAAATTTGACTGTTCTTCTAACTCCCCAAAAATTGTTTACAATTGGATGGCTTTAGGTACATTTTGATTAAACTTTTCTTATGAAAACATCTTATTTGTCCAATATATCAAAAATAAACCAAATAATTTCCTTCTTTTTTATCATGACACATCCTTAAATCATGAGATTGTTTCTGAATTATTCTGAGTTATTTCCATCTTATATTTCTAGCAAATCTATTAAGAATATACTGAAATTATGAATACAAATGTCATGATTGTTCCAAATCATCAAATCAGAAAGAGCTCCGATTCTTGTAAACTCTGCTTTTAAGAGATAGTGAGAGAGTGATTATGAGTCTTCCTTTGTAAAACCACCAATAGGTGAAAGGTACCAAATATGAAAAGCTTCTCTCATTTGTATGATTTCACTTTAATATATGAGTGCTTTGGAATAGTCACATGGAAGTCTGATTTCTTTATTTTATAAAACTTATTCTTAAAAAAACCTGAGGACATGGCAAACTGTGCAAAAATAATTTAAAATAACTATTTTAATAAAGCAAAAGTTCATACCATTATTATAACACAGAAAACCATTTTTGTTCCACAGGCAACAAAGGTGCTTCTTACCTGTAAAGCCCTTGTCACAGTTACAAAGAAAAGTATTTGGAGTAACATTGACGCAGTTGCCATTGAAACACGTAGATGGCTGGCACTGTCCAACTATTTCGGTACAATTTTTACCTATTTGAAAGGAATAATATGAACATTGAATTTTACAAAATATTTAGGGGTTTTGGTGAAGTATTTTTAAATGTCAAATGTATAGCTGCAATACAGATAGGCAGGTGGATAGTTGGGTATTTGTGTTAACGTTGTTCATTAGTTTTCACTAGAATTACTGAAATTCTAAAGCAAGACAGAAAGATATTAATCTGCTTTTATAGGAACTACTGTGCTCAGCCTCATCTGCCATATAGTCACGAATTCACATATACTTTAAAATGCAGAAATGCTGCTGAAACAGTAGTATTTTTTTCTTTTTAACATGAATCTAGCTTAATGCTTCCTCCAGCATTGAGAACAAGAGATGTTCTCATGTGGAGTGGAATTTGACAGAATTTTTCTTAATATGCAGCTTTCTGGAAATTACAGTTCCAGTTATAAGTTTTTAATGTTATTTCAGCATACAGGTCTAAATACCATATAATTATGCTTGCCGCTTGAATTACTGCTATGACATTATTGACGGTTCAACAACTTTTCAAATTTCTAATTGACTTTATATTATGGGAGGCACTTTTTCTCCCTTATTATTGTGTAGCCATGCCCATAATATATGGTGGTTTATCTTCCTAATTCTTCTTGTTTACATACAGTTTATTTATGGGAGCAGTACTGTTAATACAAAATTATGGCACTACCCAAAACTTTCCTATATAGGCTCACAGAATATTTCAAGCATTGCTTGTTGATAACATTAAGCATGATGATTGCTTTTAACAGAATTGCTTGTGAATTTCTCCATTAATTTCAGTTAAATTAGTACCAGACACTTTTTGATATCATTATTTTCAAAGCCTTTTATACAGCCCCCAGAAATCATAGCAGAAATATTAAACATACTGCATACCATCAATTTTTTCCACTATATTACTTCACTTTGAGTAATTATAAAAATATTGTACTCATAACATTGACTCATTCATACCTGCTTAATCTTCTATTGACAAATGCATTAATAACCAAATTATTACACGCTTTGTAAAGCGATTAAAAATAAATTACAGCAAACTTTATGCAACATAACCTTAATTTCTGTGTTCTATGAACCTCACTTGTTCATGATTCATCAGCTATGTTTCATAGCATAGCATCACTATTGCGAGAGCACAGAAATTCAGTTCAACAAAGGAACATTGCAACAATTCTGTTCCACAAGTACAAAAAGAGCTACAACAATCCATTTTGTGATGTGAATTAATATTTCTGGAACTTTCTAAAGCATGCCCAAATTCCATTGGTTTGAATCCAGGAATAATATACAATTTCTTTAATGGTCTTTCTTAACCCCCTGAAAGGAAGAAAATGGCTAAGAATTTATCTAATCGTGCTCTACTCTCTGGTATTAGAATCCCAACACTAAATTCAGTTTCTTCAATGGGTTTTGAGTAAGTACTGCAATATTTCCTAGATAGAATCAGATAATTTTTTTTTCTTTTGTGAAATATTTAATTTGATGATAACAGTATGTTTAATGAATTCCCTTTGGAAGGAACTTTACGGTACAGAACAATCTGGAAGAAAAGATTAAGTATTTTGCTTTGCTTGTTCTTCTAATTAAATGTTTGACCTTTCAATTAAAAACAAATTTTGATTTTAAAAATTTCCGTAGTGTAACTTAAAGGTCCTTAAAACTGAAAAGGGAGGGTTTTTTTCAGCAGATTGAATGAAATGCTCAATAAAACCATTTACTTTTTTTCAGTAGTTTGGTTAAGTAACTATTTTTTGGGAGTTTACTCCAAACCATTTATGTTATTTGGTATAAGAATTTAAATTGTTGAACAACGAAAAAAAAAATCAGTTACTTCTGTAAGTTCTCAAGTGCTTATTAACATCTCGTGCTTAAGTAGGAAAGACATATGATAAGAACCTATTCTGTTTTTCTGTACAATGCACTTATGAATATCAGCAAGTACAAATTGTCTTCAAATTCTTGCACAATCTCCCATAAGTGACTATTTGTAAAAGTGATTCAGTGCAGGTGTGGTAGTGGCAGTGGAAAATCAAATTATACAAAAGCCTTGCTAATTATGTTCTCACTGTTTTATCATCCATTAAGAAAAGTATATGATCCATGTAACGTTTATTCCTAGAAGATAAAAGAAATACCTGAAAATTTTGGAGAACATGTGCACTCGTAAGAATCTCCAGAAAATTCTGATTTCTCAGTGCAGGAGGCGTTGTTGTGGCAAGGTTTGGTGGAGCATATATCAAACTTCTGGCAGAATGTTCCAGAATAGTGTGAGAAACAATGACAGTTATACACTTTTTCCCAAACATGGCTTAGACATTTTCCATGCCCAGAACAGAATGGTGCATTTGGAGACTGTTGGCAAAACTGCTGCTTCACAGTTACGTTCAGACGAAGGCCCATATTGCACAATAGGGGGCCTCTCTTATGAAGTTCTGCAAAGTAATGAGTTCCAACACCAAGCCAGTTAGGGTCAACTTGGTGCAGTCCTCTTATCTGGCAAACAAAAATCAACTGTTCTTGAAGAAAAGCAGCTTTAGGGCAGTCAATAAATTCTTCCTTGGAGACGTTTACCAAATTCATTCCATAGGACTGAAAGGATGGCTCAGAAGCGATGAAGAGGCTATCACCTAATTGAAGCTGTAAGGGGCATATCTGAGGGATTCTGAGGTTTTGTCCTCCCAAGATTTCCCCAGTAATACTTTTATTCATATTCCAGCATTCGGTGTAAAAGTCTGAGCAGACATTTGCCCTTGGTGTCCATTTGATTACAGTAGGTTTTGGTTCCACTCTCCATTCAGCTGTCATTTGCCTCTCACATATTACCTGCCCATTTACAACGCAGAGTTGAAGAAAGCACACTAACATGGGAACTGCTGATTTTGTAGTCATCATTTTACCTGGCAAAGGGAAGTTATCTTTCACACCTGCTTCATTACTGAGGATAGCTTCAGAACACTTGTTCCTTAAAGTTCTTGAATATTTTTCATGGCAGCCTAGGAATTCAAAGAGAGGAAAATATTTGTTTTCGCACCAAATACATTTGAATATTAAATCCTCATTACAAGTACAGAAAATGTACAACAAAGCAAGGGCAACATCTATTTACTCTAATGGAAAACTAAAATAAGTCCAATTAACTGATCAGAATTATAACACTTTAACAAAAGTCAGATGTTTCCTATTTTTATTCCTGCTAAAGATTTGATTTTTATTTAGTACATTTCATTGTACTTGTGTGCAGAAGAGAAAGAGCTTAAAAACATACTTTCCATAATCCCTCCCTGTGTTTCCAAAAAATGTTATTCAAGTTAAGATAGGACATCTGTGGCAAAACTAGGAACATCTAAGCTCTAGTCATGAGTTTTAAGCATAAATATTTTCCTAATAATGATTTATTATTTTATGATAAAAGTAGATATTCTGAAGACGTAGGCCTGAGAATTCTGGCTTTATGAAGAAAACATGCAAGCAATCCTCAACACTTTTCTGTTCACACACACTCAGCAAAACACTTCATTAAATCCTTACTTTTCAAAGTACATATCTTAATCATATGCTTGATGGTTTTATGTATCACGGTTAAAGACAACAGACTACAGAGTCCTCCATAACTGTTTAATTTATAGATTAGCCTTTTTTGTCCCTTGAATATATCTAGCAATTTTTTATTGCATGGAGATGAATGATTAGAGAAGGAAAACCAAAATAAGATTATATATAAGTGTGGTAAATATAAATGGTAAATATAAAATGGTAAACCCCCAGGGGGTGGTTACCCTTGGGGTTGAGCCAATGAGTGCTTCTGCAAAATATAAACATATCACCCAGACCGGAAAAGGAGGTCGTAGTTGTTGTTGGAGGAGAGGTGGTCATGTTCTGAGGCCATGAGGAGAAGGGGCAGGAGCCCCGTTGGGGGCTATGGCCCCCCTAGCCCCTGACTGGGGGGCTACAGGGACTTGGAACAGTGTTAGACTGGGCTAAGTATCTGTAGCTGAGAAGCTGGGAGTTTTTCTCCACCGTGAGCAGCAGCAGGTGCAGCGGCAGAACAGCACTGACCGGAGAACAGTGACAAGGAGCCAGAAGATAAGGAGCAGCAAAAAAAGCATTGCAGTCAAGGAGGAGAGACACAGAGAAATGTCTGATGGAGACAGAGCAGGACTAAGCTCTACAGAGAGAGAGAGTTTGGGTAAGAACTGAAACAAACTCCCCAAACCCCTCTGAGACCTCCTAGAAAGGAGGAGGAGATGGACTCTTACTTGAGAAGAGTCTTGGAGTGCTACAGCACTGAAAAGAGAGGAACCGAGAAGCTCAGGCTTCCCACAGCTGGACCGGGACAGCTGAAGGAATGTGGAGGAGGGCTTTGCCCCCCCGCTGCTCTGAGCCAGAGCACGGGAGCTCTGTAAGGGAATTTGAATCCCCTCGAGGACAGGGACCATCACGAAGACCCTGCACTTCATGATATGACGTGGTGAAGTGACCTTTGTCCCGATGAACACAGCCCACGGAAGAGAAGACCCTCACTTGGAGTCGAAGGGCCGAGAGGGGCTTGGAGATCCACCTCGTGTGTACTGGCAGAGATCCAGCTACAGTGGCTGCATGGAAAGAGAGCGACTGCTGCCCTAAAGAGACTGCTACTCTGAGAGTGGAAAGGATCTCTTCCTTCTTCCCTCCTGGACTTTTATTTGGAGGAAGAAGAGATTTGATCCATTGTAAATACTGCTTTATCATAGAGGAGATAGTTAAGATTGTATATGATGTATTATACTATTTATTTGTACAGTCATTGTAATATAACCCCTTCCCCCCATTTTGAGTCTTGTGTGGTGTCTGGAAAAACCATCTCACATTGGGCTGAGATGTGGGAGGGGGGCTTGGACTCGGGAATTGGATTTTGGGGCTCTCAAACCATTACAGTAAGTAAGCTTTTTCTTGCAGTCATACTAAAAATGATGAAAATATATTATGTTTAATACCTTAGAAATTTTCCATAGATTTACATTAGTAAAAGTTTAATTTGTCTTAAATACAATGTTTTTTCTCACTTTTAGTCTTTTTCCTCTCACTGTACTTATCTGACACTTTAAGGTAGTGGTTTCTATACTGACATTTACAAATGAGAAAATTATTTGAAAGAATAAAATCTATCTTACAAGGGAAGACATTTAATAAAAATAAAAAATAGTATTTATAGTTTGAAATTTTTTCACATTTTTTCTCATTTTTGCACAGCACATGGAAACACACATGGATGCATATTTTTCTATACCTACATGTACCTGGTCTACCACTAAAGTGCATGTGGATTATGATACTGATTGAAGTACATGATTTCCTTAAATGTCCTCCTCTTCTCCCATGTACTTCGAGAGTATTTTGGACCATACTTTGGACTATTCTGAAAAATCAAAGCAGGACAGAAAAGATACTGTTTGAGGAAAACTTTAGTTGAAGAATATTAAAAGACTCAAGAAGCTGCTGCAAATTATAGGATACTATCAAAGAGTAGCATTCGGTCTCTCCCATTGTCACAAATTGGGATGAAAACATCTAAAATTTAGCTACATCCTGTTAGTAAATTGCTGAGCATGTGAACCTATCCCAATTATCTTTGTGCAGAAGAATGATCAGCACTGTTTAAGCATTTGAAGATACCAGAAAAGTGTGGACTATGACTAACTAGTAGTAATAATAGCAGACTCAAGCTTTAGAATATTAAACTCAGAAGGGGTAGGAACCAGGGTTTGATCCTTCTCCCAGAATAGCTTCTGTTTTGATTTAATTACTGAATCCCAATTCTGCCTTCAAAGAGTTTTGGTACTCTAACCACATAGCTCCAGAGCCAGGCAAGTATGTTAATTTCTAATTTTCTCTCTCTGTCTCTGCATTTCCACCCCTGAGAGTTAACTCCCCATAGAAAGAAAGAAAGGACATGGATCTGCAAGAAAACTACTACCCTTGTTGCTGAATACTCATTGTCTTTCTATTTTGAGACCATTCTATTATCTTCAGAATCTCATGATGTTCAATGATACCATTAGATAATGGTCTATCAAATGTGTAGTTTGGATCATTTAGCATTTTTTTCTTTTCAGGTAACAGTCTTGAACTATTAGATTCATTATAGCTGCTATTACATCTGTCACTATTATCAGGTATAAAAGTCTATGTTCTATATTACTGCATATTTAGAAATCCTACATTCAGCAGCCCATCTTTTCATACCTATTTCATAATGAGATTTTCTCAGTTGGTACTAAAATAGGCCTTTATAAAAGGTTATTTTTCTTTTTAGATACTTCAAAGAGAAAGCTACTGCATGTTTAATGCAGAGGAGTTCCTGCCCACTTACATTTTGCCCTTCATTCATGCAATTATGCATCACTATGGTATCACATATGGGTTTAATTTTTAAATTAAAGAAAATGTGCTTCCTTACAATATTTGTATGGGGTAAATCTGGACTATTTTAAAATAAGTTATTGGTAGCATTTTAACAGTTCATACTCTTCACAAAAATCATTATTAGGCTTCATGCCGCCAAAAAATTATTATGGGAGCACTATAATTAATAATATTAAATAAACAAAATCATCCTGTAAAAGCAATGGAAAAAAACACAGAGGAAGATAGAAAAGATATGCCAAGAGATTGTTTATTCAGCAATAAAATCATGAAGGAAAAAAGTTATAGAGTGAAGAGCATAAAAAGCAAACAGCCATCTATGAAATACAGTTAAAATATTAACATACCTTGCATAGAAAAATGGCCAAGAAATTAAATAACTACAAAGTGCTGATGCCATATCATGAGACAAAAAATGTGATAAGATGAAATTTGAAGTGATTTTGACAACTTTCATACCTTAGGTCTGCTTTAGGCAAGGAGAAAATCTTCCTATCTATAACCTCAACTGGTTCCATGTAATTGATGAAGACTAAGAAAAGTTCAAGACTGGTATTTGTATGGACACACAGATACTTGAAGAAAATCTAACTCTTAAAGTTACATTAGGTTGGGTGAAAAGCAAAACAATGCTCTATTTTGTACTATTGTAGAACTAAACCAGTTAGGTTTATGCAGAATTTCAGGGAAGTAATTTAAAAGCAAAAATGAATCCCAAGTTATTTGTTTTCAAGTCCAGTATCTTAAAGATTATGTGTTCTTTCTATTAATAACAAGTATGACATACTAATGACAAAAATACAGTATGTTATAAGTGAGAGTGGAGAAATGCCCACTGAAGATATATAACTCCAATGACCTTCCAGGGAAAAAAAAAATCTGTCAAAGAAGAGGATAAACCAGAAAATTTTTAGGAACATCATGTTACCATGTTTTGGTTAGGAATGGACCATCTCTTTCCACCTTCTCACATGTCACATGCACACTTTTTTGAATTACTACCTGTGCTTGACAAACTCTGGTAGGATGCAATTGAAACCTTGGATCAAAGTGATTTAAAAAGAACTGAGAGAGTGTTGTTGGGGGGCTTGCAAAGTGTCCCTCACCTTCCTCAGGAGCTGCATTCAGCTCAGGTTCTCACTCTTGGTCCTCACCTGGGTTATGCTGCAAGTAGAGTTGGTACCTGACCTTATACTATGATTACCCAAATGTCAGAAATCAAGCAGGAGGGGCAGAAGGCTGTCTTCGCTGAACAGGAACCTTCTCTTGGAGGTAAGGCAAAAAATTGAGGTGTATGCCCAGTGGAAGTAATTCAAGTTACATGGGAAGAATTCAGAGAGGCTGCTTGCAGCTGTAGGGAGAAAATTTGTGCAGCCAAAGTTCAACTGCAGCTGAAGCTGGCTAGAAATGTAAGGGACAACAAAAAGAGTTTCTTTCAAATATATTAATGGCATAGTCAGTATAGAAATGTCATCAATCCACTACAGGATGAGGATGGTCACCTCACAATCAGGGACAGAGACAAGGCAGAGGTGTTTAATGCTTTCTTTGCCTCTGTCTTCAACATGGATGACAGACCAAGGGGGTCTCAGTGCCCTGAGCTGGAGGACCACAACTGTGAGAATGATTAACTCCCAGTCAACCCTGAAATTGTGCAGGATCTGCTGCTCCAGCTGGATCCTGACAAATCTATGGGACCTGATGGGATTTATCCCAGAATCTCAAAGAGCTGGCTGTTTTCCTCACAAAACCCCTCTGAATGACTTTTAAGTGGCCTTGGGAATCTGGAGATGTCCCAGCTGACTGGAAGCTGGTGAACACTGTCCTGATTTTCAAGAAGGGCAAGAAGGACCCTGGAAACTACAGGCCTCTCAGTCTCACTTTAGTGCCTGATAGAATTGTGAAGAAGATCATTCTGGAAGTATTGAAAACCACCTGAAAGACAACGCAGTCATTGGTCACAGCCAGCACGACTGTGGAGTGGAAAGTCCTGCTTATCAAACCTGGTTTCCTTTGATGACAAGGTAACCCAGTTACATCAAGCCAGTTGATGTAATCCTTTTGGATTTCAGTGAAGTTCTCGATACTGTCTCTTACAGGATCCTTCTGGACAAAATGTCCAGCACACAGCTGGATAAGCATCATATGGTGGATGGGTGAGCAACTGGCTCATGGGCAGAACACAAAGAGTTATAGTGAAAGGGGTAACACCAGAGTGGTGACCTGTCACTAGTGGGGTTCCTGAAAGCTCCATCTTAGGCTCTGTGCTCTTCAACATCTTCACAAATGACTTGGAAGCAGGACTGGAAGGGATAGTAAGAAAGTTGGCAGATGATACTAAACTTGCAGGAGCTCTTGACTCCCTCGAAGGCAGGGAGTCCCTGCAGAGGGACCTCAACAAATTATAGGACTGGGCAATTAACAACCATATGAAGTTCAACAAGGGAAAGTGCAGGATTCTCCACCTGGGATGGGGCAGATGTACATACAGACTGGGGAATGAGATGCTGGAGAGCAGTGCCATGGAAAGGGACCTGGGGATCGTGGTTAATGGCAAGTTGATATGAGCCAACAGTACCCTGGCAGCCAGGAGGACCAACCATTTCCTGGGGGGCATCAGGCAAAGCATCATCAGCCAGTCATGGGAGGCAATTGTGCTGCTCTGCTCTGCACTGATGCGACCTCGCCTTGAATATTGTGTGCGGTTTTGGGCACCGCAGTAAAAGAAAGATATTAAGCTATTAGTGAGCATTCAAAGGAGGGCAATGAAGATGGTAAAGGGCTTTAAGAGGAAACCATATGAGGAGCGACTGAGGTCACTTGGTTTGTTCAGCCTGGAGAAATCAGGAGACTGAGGGCAGACTTCATTGCAGTCCACAACTTCCTCATGAGGGGAAGAGAAGGAGCAGGCACTGATCTCTTTCTTGAGGTGACCAGAAACAGGACCTGAGGGAATGGCCTGAAGTTATGTCAGGGGAGGTTTAAGTTGGATATTAGAAAAAGGTTCTTCACCCAGAGGGTGGTTGGGCACTGGAATAGACTCTCCAAGGAAGTGTTCACAGCACCAAGCCTGACAGAGTTCAAGAAGCATTTGGACAGTTCTCTCAGGCACATGGTGTGACTCTTGGGCGTGGTCCGGTGCAGGGTTAAGAGTTGGACTCAGTGATCCTTATGGGTCCCTTCCAGATTATAGCAAATATTTCAAGTGGCATGGTTTCACCTAAATAAATAAATAGATAAATAAACATTCTTTTACGTCTTGTCTTTATTGTAATTTTCTTTCTGTAAGTTCATGATGAAGCCCCTGACTATGACTGTGACCATGACTGCGACCTTCTGAGGTGAAAGGGTCTGTGAGTACAGAATACTAACAGGTAATGGGAAATTGTAGCTACGATGTACCTTAGGCAAATAGCACAACACAGTTTAAAGAAAGATGAACTTTCTGTGTAGGATCTGTGACTGTTTCATGGGGCAGTAGGTTGGAAAACACAAAAGACAAATCAACCTTTGATGTGATTATAGTTATTTACATGTCCTGATTCAGAATTCAAAAGTGTCTGTCTAGCAGGGACCATCATGTACCCAGATTCAAAATGCCTGCAGAAAGAACAAAAGTAAAAGGAAAAAGTCAAGTTGTCCTCAGTTTCTAAAAAAGAAACTACTAATGCAGTTAATTTGTTAAAAGAATGCTTAAAAGAGGGTAGTGGTGTTAAACGGTCATAGAAAAAGCAGAGATTTTATAAGGATAATGTATTAGACATAGATTAAAAAATGTGTATCATTAATCAGGGTTTGAAAATAGATAAAAAGAAGCTGATGTCTAAATTTAAGGGTGTGAGAAGGAAAGCAAGAAGCAGACCTTAGAATTCGCAATTTCCCATAAATCACTTAAATAAAAACATCACAGACTCTGGTAGGTTGAATGTGAAAACA